CGGCTGGCTCCGCCCAGCTGTCAGAAGCAGACCGCTCGGACAGCTTCGGCTTTTAGCGCGGCTCGGCCAAGCCGATGCATATGCAATCAGCTCGACTGAGCCGCTCGCCAATGATCGGGAGCTGTACGGGCTATTGTGAATAGCCCGTACAGCACCCCCTCGGTTCTACTGAACCGAAGGGGTCCTGGGGCCGAAGCTAGCCGAAGGATCGGCCGAAGCTACGGCCAGATCCTTCGGCAGCTTTGTGAATAGACCCCATAGTAGTATACAAACAGACCACACTTGCAAAAAGTTCAAATACTCCAGGCTTTTATTGAAATCCACACCAAATCAATTATGACAGTGTATAAACTGATGAACATCAGCACCGCAAACCCCCGACCGTCTAGAACCTCTAAGGCTTCCTGGCCAAACAGCATGAAGCCGGCTTCCCAGCTCATCAGGAAGCCATGCTGCCAGTCATTGCCTGAGTCCCGGCTCCATGTTCCTTTGCAGCATTGCCGGTCAGAGGAAATCTCCCTCTGACTGGAAGTTCTGGTATCAGGATAAGTATTGAGCATTTGGGCAAGTTCGAGTACTCGCCCAAATACTCTGTATCGGTGCATCCCTACTTTTTAAGTATGCTGTGTGAATGGAACTACATAACAAACTACACAAGTGTAGAACTACACTTTTAGGCTTGCAATAAAAGAGAGTCAACAGACTGCCTATTTGTCAAAGTAATCATGTAAAAACAGCTAGCACATTTTGCTGGACTGGAAACAAAGTTCTGGGCAAAATTTATTTGGGCACCCTGTGGTTAAGGTTTGATAACAGCACAAGATTTGGTCCAGCCACTGGATTAGCAGTAAAACGTAAAGTTTGCCAGTCCTGCTATCTTGGTATGAGGTGGCTTTTTTATTATTATTTTGCTTGGCTAAACCCAAGAGGACCCTCTATTGTATAGTAGATATAACCACAGTAGAGAAAATTATCATTAGCATATACTGTATGCTACTAATGTTGCTATTTTTAGTTAAATGTTAAAGACAAATTGTAATCTAACCTTACCTCTAGAACCCTTTCTAATGCAAAGAAACTAAGATTTCTGAATATAACCTCTTTAAAGAAGGTTTAATACCTAGATTCTGCCCTTGTCCTCTCTTCTGCAGCAACTTTATAAATGTTATTCATTACTATAAATGTGAGTAATAAGTAGCTTACACTGCACCACCTTCCAAGGGCTAGTACAGTGTTTTAAGCTCTGGTGCTCCCAGAGGAGCGTTCCCATTGCCAGGGCTAGAGGTATGAACAGCTATAATACTTTTATAGAGTCCCCTGTATTGTTACACAGGTTTGTGTGATCATAGTGCATGAAATTGATATCTGCTTACAATATAAAATGTACTTTACTGAATATACTTAACTGCAGACTTAACTGCACAATGATGCATAAACAGGTTTAGGTGCCCCACCAATAAATAGAGCTTGACTGCCCACAACAGTTATCTGATGGTCATGTCAGGCATGGCTATAATACCTGTATCCTGACTGAGGCTACATAGATCAGTGTGGGGCCCCTTAAAGACAGTTTCAATAAATTTTCAGTAGGCTTACTTACTCTACCCAGTACATTTAGCTACACCTGATTGGTTTAATACATCATACATTAGTACATTATAGCTGCATCATAGTAGAAATATTTATTATAGGTATTTATATAGCGCCAAACAATTTTAAGCAGTGCTTTACACATTGCACATTCACATCATTCCCTGCCCTCAAGGAGCTTACAATCTAAGGTCCCTACCTCACATGCATACTAGGGCCGATTTAGACAGGAACAAATTAATCTTCCATCATCTTTGGAAGTAAACCACATAAGCACAAGGTCAACATGCAGCTTGCAGATAGTGCCCTGAACGGAATTCGGACTGGGGACCGGGACTGCCAGGCTGAAGTGCTAGCCACTACGCCACTGTGCTGCAACAACAGGATGTGGACACTGATGAGCCGCTTAAACAAACCTTAGGAGTATCTAAATCCAAGAACAAAAATTTAATATTTTGCAGCTTATCAATCTGTTGATATGGTAGCTAGATATGTATCCTTTTTCCAGACTTGTTTTGTTTTCACCAGGTGATCCTGCCAGTAAAACATTTCCTGTCCTAGGCTGACATACCTTGCTCACTGTACTGTATCTATAGAGAAGCAGAGTTGTCACCCTAGGTCTCTCTCCTAACTTTGGAATACAAACAACTCCCTTCTCAACATTTTTATAAAATAAAATAAAGAACTGGGAAGGTTGAAAATGTTTGTAATTTTAGTTAATTGCACAGGAAGTTACATGGACACTTGGTTTCTAGCAGGATCAACGGGTATTATTCTGCACTGGAAGAAAATGTACTCTGCCTTAAAAATTGCAACTCGAGCAAACACCACATCTAAGAACAAGTAAGCTGCAAAATTGTATATTTCTGTTCTCAGGTTTAGAGGAGGTAGAGTGCTGTTGACTTGAATCTAGATAAATAGATTGGCTGATCTTTTAAAGTAGAACTCCATGCAGAGATAAAAATGTGTCTCTGAATGTTGATCTGTGAATTGTGGTGAGACCTCTATTGCTGTCTATCCTATGTCCAGATCTCTGCTGTGTACTGTAAACATTATACTTTAATTCATGCCAGAAAATAGAGCCAGCAGCAGAGAAGTGTGATTTTCACTTGTCCATTCACCGAACTCCTTGTAGTATACAAGGAGTTCTGTGAACCATTCACAGAATACAAGGTGTAATTTGAATAAACAAGGGGAGAGGAGGGATGAATAACTGACACTATCTGTTCTCTGTATGAGAGCCACCATTGGGATAAACAGCAATAGAACTCACTTTTTTCACAACATAATTCACAAAAACATATCCACTTGGATTTCTACTTTAAAAAAGACAGCCAAAATAGTGTGCCATTTACAAATACAGTATAACATGCTTGACCAAAATGTATAGTCACAAATGACCAAAAATGTCTTCAAAATTGTTTGAAGCTACATAAAACAGTATTTTTTTAGTGAAAGGCTTATTTTTCTAAAAGTGAATTTGGATTGTTTTATGTGGACAGTTGGTACCATTGAAGTCAGGTATTGCGCATTATGTTTTTAAAGTCCCATCTGCAGTAATTACTGTTACAATCACCTTACGCTTTAATTAAGTTGGTGGTTTCTATTAGAAACTGCATCAAATATGTGACCATTTTATTTTTAGCACATAGATAACCAATACTGTGCTGTCATCAGTCAATTATTTTCTTCACAAATTGTGATGTGTTACAGTGATTTTTCTTTGCTCCTCAGCTTCCTCCAGGCAAGTTTTACAGTTTACTAGTTTGTTTAATGGCTTTGTGCAACATTGCAGAAAGATGGATAATTCACATAGGCTTTAGAAATGTCTTTTGCTTTATGAGTTACATTAACTATTTCCTCGACTCCATTTGCCCAAAGTAAGAGATACACAGGCTTAGTAATTAAGACACAGGGAAAAACAATGATTTTGTGCAATGTGAAAGCAGATTTTATCTTTCTTTGCATCGGTGGGGACAAAACAATTGAAAATAAATGCTGATTGCTTTTGAACAATGCTTTTTACCATATCAAAGGAATTCAGCTTTTTATTATTTTTTATATTCTTTTCATAAAAACATAGTTAAGTTTAAAGTATATATGAACCCCACAAAATTTTATATAAACATGGACATGGTAATGTTTCAAATCTAATTTTCAATATATTTAAATCTGTAGCTTTCATCAAAATAATATCTAGTGATCTTGTCATGAAGAACTTTGTTCAGATGCCTGGTGTGGAGTTTACAATGCTTTGTCTCTGTCTCCTAATTGTACTCCTTTGTTGTTACCCTGTCATGCACTCTTCCAATGGAGACTACAAGTGACCATACTAATACATATTACACAAGCATATGTCACTAGTGTTACCATCAGACCACCTGCCATCAGAAATTATGGGGTCTATTCACAAAAGGGTGAAGAGTTTGGAGAAGGCAGGAGAAGGGAACAATCTAGGACAACATAGCTGAACTGGAAAGTGAGCTAAATTGGAGAATTTTTCCAAATCGGCTATTTTGTCCTAGATTGTTTACTTCTCCTGCCTTCTCCAAACTCTTCACCCTTTAGTGAATAGACCTGTATGTGCAGAAGTTGCTGGGGTGTATGCATGTAGACAGAAAGGGGCTGCAATGAGTCTGCAGTAGGTTGTAAGTGCTATTAGGCAACAAAGGATGAAGAAAATGTCAATTATTATATGCAGTGCTACTGCAAACTAAACCTCATCCAGTTCTGGTTTACATCTACTTTAATTATATTTTATTTGCATAACACATATTTATATAATTGATATTTGTACACATATTTACAATAATATTGTTAAACTGTGGTTTTTAGGTTTGTGAATGGAAAGACCCTGAACAACTTAAAAAGCTTCTGGATGTAAACATCAGAGACATTGGAGAGCCTCATCAGAAACTCCTGCAACTGTGTCAAAATACTATTAAATATAGTGTCAAAACAAGTAGGTTTTTCTTTTCATTTTAAGCATTTCATTCCACTGCAATTTAAGTTAACACTTTTGGTAAAACCAGAATGTATAATATTTCAAACATAGTTGCCCCAGCCTTTTTAATAAAAATAAATTTGCCCCATTCAGCCAGCATGAGTAAAAATAAAGCCTTGCATTAGCTACAAGTTAGTGAAATTATAGCTCACACTGGGCTATGGACTCCTCTGTAGCAGTGCTGAGTAGCCCAGAGCTGTCACATGGGTGAGTTGCATGCTCTTCTATACCTGAAAGTGCTGGGTATTTCCTGGTGTGAAATAGAGTGACGAGAGAGAGCAAAGGATAGGTAGTAATATATGGTGGTGGTGGTGAACAACAGAGAACAATAACGTTTTTCTTTTGGGCTATTAGCACCCCCCCCATACTTACTTTCTTCACAGTTCCCCACCACTCCACTCCTCCATTTGAGCTTCAGTCTAAACCCTGTGCAATCTCCATATCCACATGGAGTATACATGGGACATCTTCACCTTCCCTACTTGAAGGTGTTCAGGCCTGGAGATTGGCTGCTTAGACCTAAGCACTGCATGCTGAGAGGAGATCATATGCACTCTTGTACCCATAAGAAATTAGTAATTGTGAGGTCTCAACCAGAGCAAAACATTGAAAAGAGGTTGCATATTTTCCTGAATAGGCAAAGTGTCAAAATCCAAAATCCCTGTAAGCCTTTTTTTCCCATATAGAACATTTGTACACTGTAAACAGATTGGTTATACTGCAATATAAGAGGGAAAGATCAGGCAAGTGTTTTCTTACAATTAACAGTAGAGTGTATTATTTGAGCGATAATAGCCACAAATATTGTTCAGTGAGTGGACAGTATTTAAACAGCTTGGTTAGGTCACAATAAAGGAGGGAGAAGCAAGGCAGGTTTTATCTTGCAATAAAAATTACAGTGTTTTATCTGAGAGTCAATAGTCACAAATATTGTTCTGTGGCTGGCCAATATGCAAGCAGATTGATTAGGTTGCAATATAAAAGAGAAAAACAAGGTAGATTTTATCTTGAAACAAACATTAGAGTCTATCATTAGAGTCTATCAGACAAGCTTTCGAGAGTGAACCTCTCTTCTTCAGGTCAGAAGCAATACACAGTAGTATTGCTTCTGACCTGAAGAAGAGAGGTTCACTCTCGAAAGCTTGTCTTTTATATATTTTGTTAGTCCAATAAGAAAGGTATCATTGCACACTGCAATACTGCGTGTGTATATATATATATAGATATATATAATCCTTACCTTTTAGATGTCTCTGTGTATCAGACATTTGCAAGGTTGTCTCTCAATCTCCAAGTTAAAGGAAACTCTGGATGTCCTCATAGCAAAACTACAGAGATACTAAGCTTCTCCTTATTAACATACAATGAAGGGAATTTATCAAAACTGCAGCAGACAATATCTGGAGCAGCTGTGCACGGTAATCAATCAGCTTCTATCTTTCATTTTAAAATCTTCACTGGACAAACTGAAGAGATAAGCTAATTGGTTGCCACAAACAGCTGCTCCAGATTTTGCCTGCTCCAGTTTTGATAAATCTCCCCCAATGTCTCTAGATCCTTAACACTTTGTTAGGACAGACATTGTTCAAATCTATTTTACAATTAATAATTAAATCTACCAGCAGAGTACAGACCGGTTTAATTATGATAACATTACCTGCACAGCCACCCTGCAATTCCAGAGCAAAGCTTAGTACAGAGAACAATTTTCCTTTCAGAATAGCACATGTATTGTGCAAGCAGCAATTAGAAAAGGCAGTTATGCTATTCAAATGAGCAACACGTAACAATTATAAAATAGGTGCTATCCCAATTTGGCTGCAAAAGCAGAAATACCCTTTTTTCATCAAAATAGGTATGGATACCCCTGGAAAATATATGAATGGAGCTTAGAGTCACACCTTCAACACAAAATTAGAGCCTAAATATTAATAGGCAATATTTCATAATTCCCCATCTAAAAGTAAATTTTTAATGTTTTTTTTTAGACCTGACCGTAATAAGGAAAATATACACAAAAACTCCATACATTCCCTTTAAGCATTAAGCAGAAGTATTTACTGCAATTTAGCTATTTAGGAGGCTGTGTCTATTTACACAACGCCTGCATGAAGACATTCCTACACAAATACACATTAGGAAAATGCCTGTCCCTCAGCTTCAGAGACTTAAACATCTTCTCTTTAACACTGCCCCTGAAGCAATGACAGGCTATATTAACTTTGCTAATGAGATGGTGCTATGTTCTTACAGAAGAAAATTAATCTGTCGCATGGAAACCATACTAAATAAATTGTAGCATGTTGTGAATGCAATATTTGAGTTTTCCTTGGCTGATAATGATCAAGTTGGATTCTATATTGTGTATCATTGAATGTCATAACATTCTGCAGGAATGCAATTCAATAAATAGAATAGTATAATTCTGCTCAGGCAAGAATTAAAGCTGAATACTATACAAGCACAGCTACATGCACAGCTAAAACACATACATGCATGTATTGTTTTAACCACTATTGGATTTTTAAAAATTCTGTTAAGCTGGCCTTGTGACCCAAGGACACCTGCCAGAAAACTTAGGCGGACCAGTGACCTCACTTTAATGCTTTGAAGCAATACAGGTTGATCAAGGATCCACTCCCCATCTGCTAATTAAAAAAAGGACTAACAACACACTGAATTTATGATGCCTCCTCATATGTAAGCATATTCTCAATGTTAAATGCACCATGCACAGCATTAGCATCCTTATTGGCCAACCCTCCTGCCATCAGTCTAAATCTTGCTGTCCAAGAGATTACAGTTACAAAATATATGACTGGTTTAAATACATACAGGTATTCCTCACTTAACGGCCGAGTTCCGTTCCTACGACCAGGTCGTTAAGTGAATTGGTCTTTAAGCGGGGAACTGTATACAGTATTGTACTGCTTTAGTACAGTACTGTATAGTGTTGCAGATGTACAGTACTGTACAGTGTACTGTAAATCGGGCAATAAAATACTTACCGGGACCTGCAGTGGAGAACGGAGTACAGCACTTCCGCCGGCGAGACGTCGCACTGCCGCTGCCACCTTCCCGCGCGTAAGGTCGGAGAGCTGCGAGTGGTTGCAAAGCAGGTAAGTCGTAAAGTGAGGAATATCTGTATACTACTTGTAATCAAACACATTTCATTATTATTTAATTTTTTATGTAACTTAAAGTGTAAGTCCACTTTGTTGGGGATTGTATGGTGAGTTTTAGGGGGTATCGCACCAAAAAGTATATTCCTTTTGCAAGGCATGACTAAAAATGTACTTATACTGTATATTGGTGCAGACTTCTAACACAAGACTCCTCACAACCTCTCCTAACATTACAAAAAAGGAGAAGCAAGTAGAAATGTTAACCCTTAAGAAGCCAAGAAACCCAAACTCAAGTAAAAGTAATTTAAACTGGATGGAATGTATTTCTGTTCTTGTTTTTCCTTAATAAAAATATTTGTACAAAAGTAATTTGAACTGTAAGAAGCATTTTTTTTTATTTAGCTTATCCTCTATGAATTGGAACATGTAACAAATATAAAATAGGTGATATACCAATTTGGCTGCAAAAGTGGAAATACACTTTCAAACTACAGCTTGCTGCTGTATGGTTGGTAAGGGAAGATGGAGAGGCAGATTAGGCTTTTATTTATTGTGAAGATTATTATCATTGTCCTTTTATTGCAACAATTTCCTATTTGTTGCCCACATATTGTAACAATTATCCATTTCTTGCCCATCTATTGTAATGATTTTCTGCATAATGACTGCATATTGTACCAATTGCCTGTTTGTTGGCTGTGTATTGTAACAATGGCCAGTCTGTTGTCTAGGTACTGCCACTAATAAATGTGAGTTGTGCAGGTATTGTCACAATTGTCCATTTGTAGCCCATGTATTGTCAGGATCAAAAGCTTTTGCATATACATTTTCAATCCAGTGCTATTTGTTTAACCCTTTCGCTGCCAAGGACGTACGTCGTACGGAGCTACAAAAGTGCTATAGCTGTCATTTAATCCCCTGCTTGCTTTAAAACACTTGTAAGTTCTTGATAAGAATATCTAGATAACTTAATGTCAAGAGCCTGGCCACACTTCTATTTTAACCCTAACCTTCTTATCACACCTGTGCATCGCAACAACACATGCACAATCACACACTTTTATACATATTGCTGAATCATGCAAAAAACATGTGTCTTTATTGGAGTCTCACTTCAGTTCGATTCATTCTAATGCCACCCCTAGCATGTCTTGCTCCAGTGGCATCACAAGTAAGGGGCGGGGGTGCGGCAGTCATTTGGGTGTCACCCTGTCTGAAAAGTAGGGCACTTGGTCATGGACCGAGAGCCCGACAGTGTCAGGAGAGAGGAGGGGACATGGCGGCATACTCTCCCTGCCGGCGTCCATCTCCCCCTCCTCTCCCAGCCGGCATCCATCACCAAGATGGCCGCCGGCAGGTGTCAATAAGATGGCCACAGATGCGCGATGATGTCACGGCGGGGTGTCACCTGGTCTCCGCTCTGGGTGACACCGGGGCTCGGGACGCCCCTGCCTTGCTCATTCACATGTGAAATCAAATGCCAAAATGTACAATCTACCAAGCATGTTGGTGGAACAAGATTGAAAAAATTTTTCATGTACTTCTTTGCTGCAATTGTTTTGCCTACTGCAGCCCAATAATTTTAATTCATTTGGTGCGTGCCAACAGTGAACAGATATGCACAATCCACGCATAAAACCTTTCTCTCACACTCTCACACTAAACTAACATAACCGCTAACCAAATCCCTGTTACAGAATGCTTACATTATCCCATTCTGGAAGCAGCTGTGCCCAATGATTGAAATTTTGGGCCAAAGTAACAGAGCTGAGCACAGAGAGCAAATGATCCAAAGTTTATTGTGTTGTATCTTGCTCCCCTAATTATGAATGT